GGCCGAGGCCGCGCGGCAACTCCAGACTCAGCAGGTACAGCACCAGTACCCTCAGCGACAGCACCAGCGCCACCAGCACCTCCAGCAGCAGGACCTCCAGCAGCACCAGCAGTAGAACCACCGCCAGGACAGACAGCAGCTGTCTCAGCACCAACACCCTCAGCGGCTCCAGCTCCAGTAGGACCCGCAGGCCCAGCAGCTCCGGGACCGGCAGGACCAGCACCCTCGACGGTCGAAGAAGCTCCAGCTCCAGCAGCATGCCTCCATCGGCGAGCAAACCACTCGCGCAGCTCCTGTGGAGAGAGGGGCTCCCGGCGAGACGCAGCAGCAGGAGAAACCCCAGGCTCAGCAGCTCCAGACGCAGCACCCCCAGGCGCAGCAGCTCCAGACTCAGCACCCCCAGGCCCAGCAGCTCCTGACACAGCACCCCCCGACTCAGCACCCCAAGGCGTAGCACCTCCAGTCTCAGCACCCCCAGGCTCAGCACCCCCAGGCTCAGCACCCCCAGGCTCAGCACCCTCCGCAGTAGCACCCGCAGGCCCAGCATCCCCAGGCTCAGCACCCCCAGTAGCAGCACCTCCAGGCCCGGCACCCCCGCGCACAGCACCCCCAGAGGCAGCACCCCCAGGCCCAGCACCCGCAGCAGCACCAGAGTCACCAGTAACCTCGACCGGGTCAATAGCGTCTACCTGGGACACACCTGAGGGAGCAGGAACCTGAGGGGGGAGGGGGTCTACCGGGGGGGGGAACCGGCACAAGGAAGTCCAGTCGAGGGGGGAGGGAAGGAGTGCGGTAGGGGAAGAGGCGGTAGAAGGGGACTGACTCGTCGAACGTGACGTCCTGGGAGGACAGAACACGACGAGAGGAGGGGTGGTAGAACTGCCACCCTGGGGCGTGAGGGGGGAAGCCAAGGAAGACACATGGAGCAGCACGAGGGGACAGCTTGTCCGCAGACAAGTCGCGGACAAACGCCCGAGATCCCCAGACACGGAACGCCGACGCATCGCCAACCTTCCCCGTCCACAGCAAAGCTGGGGAGGTCTCCGGTCTGGAGACCCTGGGCTGAAGGTTGATCTGATGCGCGGCGTACCGAACCGCAAACGGCCACAAAAAATGGGGGGCAGCCGCATGCACCATGGACGTACGGGCGACGTCCATGACAATGCCGATGCGGCGCTCAGCAATCCCATTCTGCTGTGGAGAGTCCGGAAGCGTGAAGGTCTGGCGGATGCCTCGTGCCCGACAGTAGGCTCGCAGAAGGCCGGAGGAGAACTCTCCACCTCTGTCCGAGTGCAGACGCAAAACAGGAAAGTCCGAGCCGAAGCTCCGCCTGAGCTGGAGACGAGCTGCGCGGATCCAGTCGATCAACACCTCAGTGACCTCACCCTTGCTGCGCAAGGGGAAGACTGTGGTGTAACGCGAGTAGTCGTCAACCACCAACAGGAAGTAGCGCTCGTGACCCTGTCCACGGACGCGGGCTGGGCCCCACACGTCCATGTGAAGCGTCTGCATCGGGGCCTCTGCGGAGGAAACGGGGAGGAGTGAGGGGTAGCCCGCAGGCGACCCTCGACACAGGGGACACAGGGAGGGCCAGGCCCCGGAGGAAGGGGAGGGAGGGACCGGGGAAAGCCAGAGACAAGAAGGCGAGAGGCCATGCCCCGGAGACGAGGCAGGGAGGGGTGACCCATCCTGTGGTGCCACAGGAGGGTCTCGTGGGACAGGAGGCGACACGAGCAGGGGGCAGACTCAGGACCAGACCTGGACGCTGCAGCAAACACCTGACCCGACGCAGCTACCTGACCAGACGCAGGAGGAGGAGACGGAACAGTGAGTGTGTACAGGCTCGACCCTGGACCACGTGTGAATGTGGTCAAGTGTCGACCCGTGTCCGCGTCCGTGCAGTGGGTGACTCGTCGGCGCGCAGGGGTGAACTGGTCAACCCCTGCATCCTGGAGGTCAGCACCCGCCACCAAGTTCGTAGAGAACGAGGGGAGGTAGAGACCGGACAGGGCGCCAGACGGGACCGCAGGGCACGGCAGGACAGTGGAGTAGCGAGCCAAGAGGGGTCTGCCAAGGAGACCGCCACTGGCCGACTAAGCGGCGTGAGTGTGGTGCGGTCTCGAAAGAAGGAGCGAGACGCCCCGGAGTCAAGAGTGAAAGTGAGAGAGGGTGAAGTCGACACAGTACCTGAGAGAGCAGACTCACCAGCACCTGAGGACTCAGACTCACGGGCACCTAGAGCAACAGCCTCACCAGCACCTGGAGCAGCAGCCTCAACAGCACCTAGAGCCGCAGTACCAATGCCCGGGTCGGGCGGGAAACACCGGTAACAGTCACCCTCCTCACTAATAGTCACAGCATACATTGCAGCAAGAATAGCATCAAAGTCAAGATCAAAGATAGGTTCTCCAGCCCTAGACAGTTGGTCCCATTGAGGGATCTCAGAGGCGTCAGGAAACTGGCGGCGCCAAGCGTCAGTCAGGCGGCCGAAGCAACGCTGGGTGGAGTGTGGACCACCACACTGCTCACCCGCACGGTCGCAAGTGCGCAGGACGTAAGTGCACGGACCAGTACCCCCACCCCGCTGACGCGCAGAGTACCACTCACGGAGCTGCTGCGGGGAGAGGGTCTCCTGACCACGCTGCTGCTGCTGGCGCTGACCACCACCGGAGCCACTCCTCCTCGGCGCGCCACGACCTCCGCCGTCTCCTCCGCCGCCGCCGCCACCACCTCCACCGCCACCGCCACTCCCACCGTCGCCGCCGCCACCGCCGCCTCCGCCTCCACCCCCACTACCACCGCCGCTGCCGCCCCCGCCTCCACTGCCTCCGCCGACACCTCCACTCCCGCCACTACTCCCGCTACCACCCTCACCTCCGCCGCTGCCTCTACCTCCGCCTCCACTGCCCCCGCCGCCTCCACCACCGCCCCTGCCCCCCTTGCTCTTGCCAGAGCGACGTCTCCCGCTGGGGGCAGACGCCGCTCCGACCGACTCAAAACCAACAAGGTCGGTCGTAGCAGCAGAGGCGACAGAGGGCAGTAGGGGGGAGGGGGAACACCCCTCAAAGATGGGGGTGCGCGGGTCACCACGAGAGGCCCCTACAGCGAGAATGCTCTTCTCGGCTGCTAGGAGGGACTTCTCGAGGATCTCGACAGTGAGAGTGGTGGGGCAGACTGCGAGTAGGTCGTCCCTGACTCCGCGAAGGGAGTCAGGGAGGCGGGTGACAATGTAGTAGAGAGTGAAGTACTTGGGGGGGGGGGTTCTTGGCGCAGAACTCAGCAGGAAGTGCAGCGCGGAAGCGAGCGTCACTAGTGCGCAGGTGGGTAATGAGGTCGGCTACTGTGGCAAAAGCAGCAAGGTCGGGAAAGAGGTACGGTAGCATGAGGCGGCTCAGTGCAGCAGTGGCAGGGGTGGAGTAGCATGCAATAACGGCGTCGTACAAGGTCTTAGCACTCTTGTACGACCCAAAGTGCGCACGCTCAGCGGGAGGGAGGTGGCGACGCACAGCAAGACGTGCAGCAGCATCGCGTGTGGCCCACTGTGAGCGAACAGTGGCATCCTCAGTAGCAGCAGGGGCGGGAGAGGCACCAGAAGTGAGATCAAAGAGAGAGAGTCCGTCAGCTCTGTCGCACTGTAGGAAAAGCAGTAGGTCGTCTACCCACACGTCAAAGTCAATGGCTCTGCCCTCAACGTCAAAGGCGAGGACACTGGGGGTAGCCATGACAGCAGTAGAGAGAGGGCACTGCGCAGAGTAAAGCTCAGTGCTCACCAGACAGGGCAGTGCAGGGAGGGCTCGGGCGGCTCGGGCGGCTCGGGCGGCTCGACTGCTCGGCGGCTCGGGCGACTCGGCGGCTCGGGCGGCTCGGGCGGCACTGCTGCTGGGGCGGCTCGGCTGCTGGGGCGGCTCGGCTGCTGGGGCGGCTCGGCTGCTGGGGCGGCTCGGCGGCTGGGGCGGCTCGGCTGCTGGGGCGGCTCTGCTGCTGGGGTGGCTCGGCCGGGAGATGCAGGGGCGGGGCCATCAGGCGCAGCGGCGGGCCGGCAGGTGCAGCGGCGGGTCGACCGGTGCAGCGGCGGGCCGGCAGGTGCAGCGGCGGGGCCGTAGGGTGCAGCGGCGGGCCGGTAGGTGCAGCGGCGGGGCCGTCAGGTGAAGCGGCGGGCCGCTGGGTGCAGCGGCGGGCCGTAGGGTGCAGCGGCGGGCCGGCAGGTGCAGCGGCGGGGCTGTAGGGTGCAGCGGCGGGCCGGTAGGTGCAGCGGCGGGCCGGCACGTGCAGCGGCTGGGCCGTCAGGTGAAGCGGCGGGCCGCTGGGTGCAGCGGCGGGCCGTAGGGTGCAGCGGCGGGCCGGCAGGTGCAGCGGCGGGGCCGTCAGGTGAGGCGGCGGGCCGTAGGGTGCAGCGGCGGGCCGTAGGGTGCAGCGGCGGGCCGGCAGGTGCAGCGGCGGGGCCGTCAGGTGCAGCAGCGGGCCGGCAGGGCCGCGTCAGAGCCGGCGGCGGGGCCGCGTCAGCGGAGGCGGCGGGGCCGCGTCAAGCAGGCGGCGGGGCGCGACGTAGCGGGCGGCAGGGCCGCGTCAGAGCCGGCGGCGGGGCCGCGTCAGTGGAGGTGGCGGGGCCGCGTCAAGCAGGCGGCGGGGCCGCGATCAGGAGGGGTGGCGGGGCCGCGTCTGAGGGACAGCGGGGCCGCAAGGGAAATGGCGACCCGAGGGGTCGCTAGAAAAAATGCGCGCCTCGGGGCGCGCTTCGGTGGGCCCTAAAAAAAAACGGTCCTTAGGAAGGACCCGCTCTATACCATGTGAAACAAGTGAACAGAGGTGAATGACTAAGGAAAGATTGGGTACAAATACAACCCTAGAAACCCTGTACCCCATATGTGCTACCCCACTATAGCCTACAGCAACTATGTCATATAAATCTGATGTCAATTCTAGTCATTACATTCTCATAACTCAAACAGCCGATGCTCTTCGCGGCGGCCATACAGCCAACCCTATTGAGGGTTGCGGCGATGTGTCCCACGACGGTGGTAATGGCGTATGCGGACGATATCACGATCATCGGCGCTCCAGGGGAGGCGATTAAGGGAGTGAACATCATCACGGAGGAGTTACGCAAGTGCGGGCTGCGGTGCAACATGGAGAAGTCCTCGGCGTGGTGCCCGGCGGGTTGCTCGGACGTACTCCCTGAGGGCGATCGACGGGATACGGGTGCTGGGGAGCCCGGTGGGGAGTAGAGAGTACGGGAGGAGGACGATACAAACGACCCTCAGCACGGTGGTAGCGCCACTGAACCTCATCGGCAAACTATACCCACAGCACGCACTCCTCCTCCTCTCGAGATGTGTGTCGCGGCGCATCTCTTACATGCTCCGAACCACCCCGGCCGATACGCTGCCACTGGTGGAATGGAGGGACTGGAGTGAGGAACGGCTGTGGACGGCACTAAAAGCAGCAAAGATGCACGCCCCGGGGAGCAAACAGGAGCAGAGCCTGGTCTGGCGCCAAGTAACGCTCCCGGTGTGCCTCGGGGGCCTGGGGCTGATAGATCCGCTCTGTGAGAGGACGTCCCCGTTATAATATTTTCTCACTATTATATTTTTCCGTTATCCTATTCTCCCTTTTCTCCTCTTTATTTTGGTCTTTATCTCATCTCAATCGGCCTACTATTCTATTTTATAGAGCCTTCTATTTATTTCTCTTATTTCCTACTTTTCCCACCGACATACCTATTATACGGCACCGATAGCGCCGACAGTGGTGTATACGGTGTAATCTGGGCGTAATCCCAAGTGCCAATAGCCTTGCGTGCTTGTGCGCACTTGTGATTGTAGTATCGGGAAGGGCGTGTTCCCGAAGGTTCGTTTTATCTCGTTTATCCTTGTATTTTCCGAGTATAAAAATGCCTTGTATTCAGTTTTAGTGACAAGTTTCGATTGAGAATTCGATCCTGTGACACTTGGTATCAGAGCCGTTCTCACTCGACGACTCTCGGCTAAGCAGCGGTCGCGGAAAAAATCGCCTCGAAAAACCGCCGGGGGCGACCAATTCGACGCCGATTTCTGGTAAGCACCAGTTCCGCGCTTTTCGAGTTAACCCCCTCGCGTGGTTTCTGAACAGGATGGGTTCGCCGACGACCAATGACGTTACGCAGCAGCTCTTCGCGCAAATCGCCAAGATGGAAGCGGAGATGCGAGCGACGACTGAACGGTCGCGATTGGAGAACGAGCAGCTGCGAAACGAACTGCAGCGCGTTACGCAGCTCCTCTCGACCATGAACATTCCTGCTTCGACGACTTCGCAGCAGTCGCAGCGTCAGTTCGAGGTTCCGAAACTTCGCTCGCCGGAATCGTTCGACCCTAGCGATCGAAAATCCGACGTCAGGCGGTGGCTCGCGACGATGGAAATTTATTTTGCGGCGATCGGATGGTCGATGACGGAGTACGACGGCGAGAAAATTCGTCTCGCGACAACGTTGATGCGCGGTCCAGCTCTCGAGTGGCTTGGAAGCAACAATAGCATTTTCCAGGGCGAAGCCACGTGGCAGCAGTTCCGGGCAGACCTTCTCAAACGTTTTGAGCCTATTAATTCCACTTATATTGCGCGCGAAAAATTACATCACCATAGGCAATTCGGGAGTGTCGCGCAATTTACGCAGCAGATGGAGGAATTTTTCTCAGAAGTAGTTAAGACTTAGGCACTAGGGTGTTGGGTAGAACGAGAGTGACGAGAGGAAGGGGTCGAGAGAGTTTGACAAAAGAGGGTGATTCAATATTGAGCGAGGGTACAAATAGGAAAGAACAAACAAGAAAGGTGCACCACCAAACAGAAACTTCTATGACTACAGTATTCTACACTACAGGCAGTTACAAAACAATATATAGAGTTATATATTATTCTGACACGCCCCCATAAGTGCCTGTAGGGAAGAAAGGGCAGTCAACGCCCCCATAATGGGGTACACCATACAGGTGCAGCGGAAGAAACAGATGCAGGCAAAAGCAGTGGTAACCGGTGCAAAAGTGGCAGAAACAGCTGTAGCCAACCCTCAACCAAGGAAGAAGTAGTAACAGGTGTGGGAGGCGGCAGGTCGCCTGAGGAGCAGGCTCTGTGGCTGCATCAGGCAGCAGGACAGCAGCGGCTCGACGGCAGCACCTGCAGGCCCCAGCAGCAGAAAACAGAAAACAGGGCAGGTGGCGACAGGGGCGACAGCTGGAGGTGCCAAAGTAGCAGCGGGCTGCAGCAGCAGATACCCGGCTGTCTTCCGCCACCCTCTCTCACCCTCCCCCCCACAGCTGCAAACGCAGCAGTGAGAGAGAGAGGAGGGGGGACGGCTGTTGGTGCTGCAAAATCTCTCTCACCAACCCCTCACACTCCCCCCCATCCCCCACAGCGACACGCGCTGCAGGGAGAGAGAGGAGAGAGGAGGGCATCGGTTGGTTCCTGCGGGTACACTCCCGCCACCCTTTTACCCTCCCCCCCACTGCGACAGTCGCGTATGGGGCGACAAATGATGACGGCAGCTGCTGCAGACTGCTCACAGCGGTCGCCCCGACACACCACCTCCCCCATGGTCCCCCACTCCCACGACCTCCCCCCACAGTAGGAGCGCGCACGGCAGCAGCAAGTGCGACAGCTGCAGTGGGGACCGCGGGAGGGTGGGCGGGGATAGCTGCTCGAGCGCGACGAGCGGAATAGGGGGCCGAAACGGAGGCGCGACGAGGCGACGTCGGGGCAGCGTGGCCGCGAACGACGGGGCGACGAGGCAGCGCGACGAGCAGAGCGCCGCCTTCGCCCCGTCGATCGCACTGACGATCGAAACCGTCGCGGATTTTCACGCGACGGTCGCACTGACGGCCCGATCGCAGTAGAAAGTCGTTGGGAGGGAGGGCCGCCATGACAGGGTCGAAAATTGGTGGGCCCATTGATCGAAATCTAGCTCGATACCATCTCAGAAGTAGTTAAGACTTAGGCACTAGGGTGTTGGGTAGAACGAGAGTGACGAGAGGAAGGGGTCGAGAGAGTTTGACAAAAGAGGGTGATTCAATATTGAGCGAGGGTACAAATAGGAAAGAACAAACAAGAAAGGTGCACCACCAAACAGAAACTTCTATGACTACAGTATTCTACACTACAGGCAGTTACAAAACAATATATAGAGTTATATATTATTCTGACAATTTTATAATCGCATTCCCGACATTACCGAGGGCGAAAAAATTCAGTCCTACATCGCGGGGCTGAAAACCGACATTCGGCGCCAGATTGCAGCAGCGAATTGCAGCAGCTATAGCAAAATTGTATCGGCCGCGGAGCGTTTTGACTTGGTCAACTCCGGAACACGACGGCCCCACGTCGTCGGATCACGACAAGGGGATCGCTCGGCTTCAACCATGTTCGCCGACCCCATGGAAGTCGACAAATTCGACGCGAATTCACGACCTACAAATAACAAAACGTTTTGCGAATTTTGCGGCGGAAACGGACATCGGATTGTCGACTGTTTTCACATGAAATCTGCACGTGCGGCATTCCGAGCTCGTGGGAGTGGCGAAACCAAAGACAAAAAGTCAAAAAACGGATCTCGCCAGTGATTGCGGATCGTGCTGGCGAGGAAAAGCAGATCCGAAAGCGTCAGCGCAATCTGGACCAAATCAAAATTGAAGGACAGCATTGGGCCCGAGATTTGGAGAATCAAGGGCGAAATCCCAAGCCCCTTGACCGAAATTTGTCAGAGGGATTTGCCGAGGAAAGGAAAACTGTCAAAGTTATTTTATGTAACTGCTTGTGGTTTAGGTGTAGTGTATTTATCTTGTCTTCTGTTTGGTGGTGCACCTCTAGTTTCTTGACTATATGTTGTATCTCTTTGCTATTATTGAACACCATTCTCTCTTTTCAACTTTCTCGACACTCTCCTCAACTGCAAAACTCGAACTTCTCCTAAGCTACTTTGGCTCCCATGCCTAACTAGCACTTGGATTTTAACATGTTATCAGAGTGACCACGGTTCTTACCTGTGGACCCGCTCCATTGCTTCCGCTGCTACTCTGTGTTCGGCACGCCCCGTGGCGTGCCCCTTAACCTTTTCTTAGCGGCCCCGTTGCCGCCCTTTCAGGCCCCTCGCGGCCCCTTCGCGGCCTCGCCGTCTACCTGCGGCCCCGCCGCCTACCTTCGGCCTCGCCGCATACCTGCGGCCCCGCCGCCTACTTTCCGTCTCACCGCCTACCTCTGGCCCCGCCGCATACCTGCGGCCCCGCCACCCATCTGCGGCCCCGTCGCCCACCACGGCCACGTCGCCACCTGCGGCCCCGTCGCCCGCTGCGGCCCCGTCGCCATCTGCGGCCCCGCCACCTTCGGCCCCGTCGCCACCTGCGGCCCCGTCGCCCGCTACGGCCCCGTCGCCTACCTGCGACCCTACGGCCCCGTCGCCTACCTGCGGCCCTACGGCCCCGTCGCCTACCTGCGGCCCCGGCCCCGTCGCCTTCGTGCAGCCCCGGCCCCGTCGCCTACCTGCGGCCCTACGGCCCCGTCGCCTACCTGCGGCCCTACAGCCCCATCGCCTACCTGCGGCCCCGGCCCCGTCGCCTTCCTGCGGCCCCCGCCCCGTCGCCTACCTGCGACCCCGGCCCTGTTGCCTACCTGCGGCCCCGTCCCCTACCTGCGGCCCCGTCGCCTCACTACGGCCCCGGCCCAGTCGCCCACCTGCGGCTCCACCCTCGTCACCTAACTGCGGCCCCGGCCCCGTCGCCTCCTTGCGGCCCCAGCCCCGTCGTCACCTGCGGCCCCGCCACCTGCGGCCCCGTCGCCACCTACGGCCCCGTCGCCCACTTCGGCCCCGATGCCACCTGCGGCCCCGCCCACTTGCGGCCCCGACCCCGCCCCGGCCATGCCCCGTCGCCAGCCGCGGCACACTGGGGGCACGTGCACCGCCCCCCCCCCCCCTTTTCCCGTCACCCGTGAAGGGGGGGGCAGGCGTCGCCCCCTCTGCCGCCTGCTTTGGCGCCCGGGGAGGCCGTGCGTCGCCCCCCCCCCCCCCCCCCTCTCCTCCTCCTTTTGTTCCCGCTGCTGCAGCTGCCGCTGGGGGGGAGGGTGTGAGGGTGTGGGGGAGCCGGGGGAGTGGCACTGGGGTGGCGGGTGTGAGATCAACCAGCACCCGTCCCTCCACCTCTCCTCTCTTCCCCCCTCTGCTGCTCCTGCAGCAGTGTGTGGGGGAGGGGGAGGGGGAGAGGGAGGGGGAGGGTGAGGGGATGGAGGGGGTGACCAACCAGAGCCTACCACCTCCTCTCGAGAAAACAGACTCGACCAAGACGGGAACTCTCCAATTCGACCCCGGAAAAAAATAGAATTCGTTAAAGTTATCTTTCAAAGATGCTTTAATGAAGACTGGTGATTTTCGCGGGTCCAGAGCTATAAACAAATTCCGGGAAGAACTCGAGAGGAAGTAGACAATTAAAGAAGTGGTACCGGTGCCTACGGAGCTGGGGAAAAAATTAAGGAGTGTGGAAAGGAGTAGACCTTTTCACGGCGTCAACGTCCTCTCCCGGAACCAGCCCAAGATGACTCTCCACTCCCCAGGGAAGAAGTCTATGGAGCTAAAGCAGCTGAAGAGGCAGCTGGGAGTTCAAAAGAAGCTGTAGAAACTCTGAAAACCCCTCCAGGATGCATCCAGTGGATCGCAGGCGTCGACCGGATCCACCCCCTCAGGGTCAACCTGTACGGTTACTACCTCTACTCCTGGCGTTGGAGAGGAGCTTTTCTCCACGCAGCCCAGGCCAGCTGGTTGTCCAGGAGCAAACAGTGGAACCACGGTGTGTACTGAATATTGGGATGTACCTTATGATCCTATTAATGAGACTATTTTTGGGTACTCCGAGCAACGCTCACCACTCCTGCTCGAGGTGATCTGCAACGGACAGCGCCTCCAAGCACTCGTGGACAGCGAGGCGTCGCACAGCGTCTATGACAAAAAGGCAATCGATCGACTCGGAGGTGAAATCAAGTCCTCAAGCTTCTCTGCAACGATGGTGGATGGCAGTAAGCTACCTATCTACGGGGAAACACGGTTACTACTCCAGATTGGACCCCTTCGATGGAAGCCTGCTCTCCCCGTCACAAATATCAAAGGACTCGACGTAATCTTCGGGAGAGACTTTCTTAAAAAGTTCAACCCCGAGATCAACTGGGTTAGCCGGACGGCCAACATCAACAATAACGGGAGGAAAATCAGCCTTCCCAAATGGGACGACACGGGAAATATTCCAGTCGAGACACTCGAACGCTTTGAAAAGGACGTCAAACGGACCACGGCGGGATTCATGGCGATAGTCAACGAAGCAGACAACGGAGAGAAGCAGACCCAAGAACTTCCTCCAGCAGTCAAGAAAATTCTTGAAGAGTTCCAGGACGTTCTCCCCGACGATTTACCTGATCAACTACCGCCATACCGAACACATCAACACGAGATCGTAGAAGAGCCGGGGTCCAAGCCAACGTTCCGAGCACCATACCGGCTGAGCCCGACAGAGCTTGCCGATATGAAAAAACAAATAGAGTATCTCCTGGAGAAAGGGCTGATTCGACCTTCGACTTCGCCGTACGGAGCTCCAGTACTCTTCACTCCGAAGCCAGACGGAAGTCTGCGAATGTGCATCGACTACCGAGCCTTGAACAAGCAGACTGTAAAAAATAAATACCCGATACCACGGATCGACGACTTACTCGATCAACTTCGCGGTGCTACGGTATTCTCCAAGCTCGACCTCAGATCGGGATACTGGCAAATTCGTATGGCGGACAACTCTATCCACAAAACCGCCTTTCGAACTCGGTATGGGTCATACGAGTATCTCGTGATGCCGTTCGGACTCACTAACGCACCAGCCGCATTTCAGGCGGAAATGAACCACATCCTTCGGCCCCTTCTGGACGAGTGCGTGGTGGTATATTTGGACGATATCCTGATCTACTCGAAAGACATGAAGAAGCACGTTGAGCATCTGCGACGGGTGTTTGAAATTCTTCGACGAGAACGCTTCTACATGAAACTATCCAAGAGCGAGTTTGCATTGGAAAAAGTCCAGTTCCTTGGACATATGGTGAGCGCTCGGGGAGTTCACGTGGATCCTAAGAAGATCGAAGTAGTGCGAACGTGGAAGACCCCTGAGAACGTGAAGGAGTTACAACAGTTCCTTGGATTCGCCAACTACTACAACCGGTTCGTACCGAACTACGCCAAGATTGCCGCACCATTAACGAACCTGTTGAAGAAGAATACACCATATCAATGGGAGGCGAAGCACTAGGAAGCCGTGGAACAACTTAAAACCGCACTCACGTCCGCACCTGTCCTTATCCTGCCAGACCCTGAAATTGACTATGTCATCGAGGCCGATGCTAGCGATCAAGCAGTGGGCGCAGTACTCATGCAGGATCAAGGGAAGGGACTGCAACCCATTGCATACCTCAGTAAAAAACTTCACGGGGCAGAACTCAATTACCCCATCCATGACAAAGAGGCCTTCGCCATCGTCAACGCATTTAAGGCATGGAGGTGTTATCTCGAAGGAAGAAAAACGACCGTCTACACCGACCACTGCAGCCTCAAGTATCTGAAGACCCAACCAACACTCTCCAGGCGGCAGGTCCGGTGGATTGACTTTCTCGAAACCCACTTCCATTACGACATCGTGTATAAGCCGGGGCACAAGAACAAGGCAGACGCACTGAGTCGCCCTGCACACGTTGCCGCCCTACAAGTCGATGGCATGAACCCACTTTTGAAGGGACTCTTCACGCATGGATACACCATCGACCCCGAAGTCTCTGTAGCAGAAAAGCGCCATCTTCTACACCGGGATCAAGACATCGCATACCGCAAGGGATCCACAAAAATATGGGTACCTAATTACCCTCCTTTACGCCAATTACTGCTCGAAGAATATCATGATGTTCTCTACGCGGGCCACTTCGGTAGTAACAAGATGCTTGCCGGTATTGCGAAGCATTATTATTGGCCCCACATGGCGGATGACGTACAAAAATTCGTCACCTCGTGCGACACATGCCAATGGATGAAGAGCAGCAAACAGAAGAAAGCATGGTTACTACAGCCTCTTCTAGTCCCTGAACAGCCTTGACAAGTGGTTAGCCTCGACTTCATCACCGGGTTACCACCTACCAAAGCTGGTTACGACGCCATTCTAGTCGTCATCAACAAATTCTCCAAAATGGGACACTTCATTCCGACACACACAACGGCTCGCACCGAGGAGATAGCGCAATTATTCTTCCGCTACGTCATCTCGCAACATGACATTCCAACCACGCTGATCTCCGACAGAGACCCGAAATTTACGAGTAAATTCTGGAAGGAGCTCATGTCGCTCATGGGGACTAAACTCGCCATGTCATCAGCCTATCATCCCCAAACGGATGGTCAGACAGAGCGCCTCAACCAGATTGTCGAACAACTTCTGCGAGCAGCATGTAAGGACGATATCTCTAAATGGGATGCACACATGCCGGTTCTCGAGTTTGCGTATAACAACGCCACGCACGCCGCAACAGGGCAAACTCCTTTCTTCCTCTGTTACGGTCGCAACCCACTCACGCCTCAGAAACCAACAGTACCCGCCACGGTGCAACCCGCACATGACTTCATTACCACTATGCACCAATTGTGGGAGCGCACGCATAAACGTCTTCTGACTATCCAGCAGCAACAAAAGAAGCTCGCTGATCAGAGTCGCAACGATCATTCCATCAAGATTGGCGATCAATTGCTTCTGGATACACGCAATCTCGACATTAGCCATCTTCCGTCTAAGCTCCGACCTCGCTTCTGCGGACCTTTTCTCGTCGAGGCACAGGTCACTCCAGTAACCTTCCGCTTGCGTTTACCAGCTACCTGGAGAATTCACAATGCCTTCCATGTTCAACTTCTCAAGCCCTATCGGGACCCAAACACGGACTTCAAAGGTCGCCAGCCGCCGCCGCCACTGCCAGTGATCGTTAATGGGGAACCCGAGTACAAAGTCGAAGCCGTTCTGGCGCACCGACGACGACGTAGCGGCACCTTGGAGCTCTTGATTCGTTGGAAAGGCTATGATCCTTCCGAGGATACCTGGGTACCTGAACACGACATGGATAACGCCCGCCGTCCTCTCCAGGACTACCTTGTCGAGCAGGGTGTTACTTCTACCATCCAGCTTTGACGGGGGGGGGTGTGAGAGGACGTCCCCGTTATAATATTTTCTCACTATTAGATTTTTCCGTTATCCTATTCTCCCTTTTCTCCTCTTTATTTTGGTCTTTATCTCATCTCAATCGGCCTACTATTCTATTTTCTAGAGCCTTCTATTTATTTCTCTTATTTCCTACTTTTTCCACCGACATACCTATTATACGGCACCGACAGCGCCGACAGTGGTGTATACGGTGTAATCTGGGCGTAATCCCAACTGCCAATATCCTTGCGTGCTTGTGCGCACTTGTGATTGTAGTATCGGGAAGGGCGTGTTCCCGAAGGTTCGTTTTATCTCGTTTATCCTTGTATTTTCCGAGTATAAAAATGCCTTGTATTCAGTTTTAGTGACAAGTTTCGATTGAGAATTCGATCCTGTGACACGCTCTCTGAGGCACCAGCGGCATACCTGGCCTCTCTACACGCGGCAAATACTCTCCTCAGACACACGGTGATGGCGGCGGACAACCCCCTGCTGCAAGTGACAGACCTGGTGTCGCCAATGGGGGGACTCCAAGGGGCATCGGCAGGAGGGGCTGCAGCAGGAGGGGACTTGCTCTAGGACCTTCGGAACCGGCTCCCAGAGCATGCCCGTGAAGTCCTGAAGGCGCACCACAAGAAGGGGGTGTCAAACATTATATATGTTGTGCTTGTTTAGGCTACAGTGGGTTAGCCTATACGGGGTACACAATTCTAGGGTTAGGTACTTGTACTGATT